ATAAAGCTACGAACAATTGCAATAGCTACTTCGGTGCTTCCTGTGGCCGTATCTATATTTGTCAATTGCCGATATTTTAGGGAAGGCATCAAAGTGATCAGGGAGGCTACGATTGCAACCTCAGAAACTGAGACCGGAGATGACACAGTAGCAGTTGTTAAAGGGTCAGAGTAACTCTTCATCGTTATTTCGACCGATTGGTCGGTAGGACATTTGCCAGATCTCTGGGCAGAATGAGGAGGGACAAAGTCAGTAGAAACCACTACAGAAGAGGGGGTGAATGTCACGCCCCAAAATTTGGACAATTAAATATTAAATTAAGACTAAACCCTAATCAATATTCCATCATCCAAATCTTAGGGGTGAAACAAAATCGTTCACGTCTCTAACGGGTTTAAGTAAATTTCAATCCTCAAAAGTTTACAAGGGATAAAAAAAACTAACAAAACGCTAACCAAACCATCCATCATAATTTTATAACTAACCAATATCTCTAACATTTAAGTAACAATAAATAGTCAAAATAACTTAACTAATGTAAAGTTACAAACCAGGCCAAATTATCAATATGCTAAGATCATTAAAAAAAATAATAAATACATAACCTAATATCAACCCTAAGCTCAAGAAAACCAAAAGAAGTCCAAAAGACATATCCTACGATCACAGTTATTTCTTGTCATCACCATAGTCCTAACTAACTCTGTAAAGGAAGCTCGGTTGCGCTAAAACAGAACGCATCCGAGTTGCCAAGAGACAAAACGGGTCAGTATACAGGTATACTGGCATGAGTACAAAATTTAACACCCACGTGTCCACCAGACACAAACAAAAATACATTTAATTCTTGTTACGGGACAAGACAAGTAGTGTCATCTGTACCGAGACGAATGGGTAGTTTCCCGAATATGGTAGCATTTAGTTTCTTGCCCGTACACAACGAAATATAAATTGAGAAAAGAAAAAAAATAAATAGAATAAAAATAAAAATATGGTGGATCAGCCCTGCATAAAAAGTTAGTCAGACCCACCATCCTGCAAAAAAATGAAGTTAGTATAATTTAATCCTAAGTAACTTGCTGAAAAAGTATAAAAATACACCGTTTCATGCTTAAATGATTCGAATTGACCAAAACTCAAAGAACAAAAGTTATACAGAATCAAATTTCCTAAAAGACAACTTGAACAAATTTAGTAGAAACTGAGCAGGTTGAGAGAAAAACTTGATAGAAGAACCTAGACGGAATTCAAACGAAAAATCTAAAACTGAAAACGAAAAGAAACTGCCCTAAGATGATTTTTTTGAGAAAAGTTCAAAGTACGAAAAGTGTTCAGAATAATGTTTTACTTTATGTTATGCGAAACCAATAAAAATAAGCTCGTTTCATGAGTTAAAATAGCATCTAAAATCTGCAATACTAAAATAAATAAAAACTATTGAAACAAAGATTATCCGATTACAAGTTCTAATCGATCTTTGTAGTAAAAAGTTAGAACACAAAATATGTCTACAATTACATATACATGTCTCTGTCCAAATTTCATAATTTATCGAGATCGTTTACTATTTTTCAAGATATACAAATCAATATAATTCACACTATACCAATAAACTCATAATTAAATTTTTTGCACCTTAACTCCACCACTTCGGCCTCCACTTCCGGCCTACACATATATCTCATGTGCCTCCTGTATACCTAACACTGCTCTGAAGCCAAACTAGCACGGGGATATCATCCCGAGTTTGACGCACACTCCTCAGATGGTTAGCATATACGTACGTACGTAAATCAAAGCACTCGTCTACTCATGAGAACAAGGAAACAATATATATACACAACATCTCACTCATGAGAACAAACATAACAATGCCAAGCCTAAGGCATTCAAATAAATCTCATAATCCCCACCTTTCTTTTTTTTAACACTATTTCTCACCAACACTCAAATAAAATAACAATTCATGGAGTTATGGTGGAGTGTAAGGAATTTATCTATAAGTTCCTAATTTATTTTAATTTCATATGTCCATGAGTGTGATTACATCCACAAAGTAAATATATATAAAAACCTTAAACCTTACATACACATCTAATCAAATCATGAAATCAATTCATCATCTACATACAAATACAAAATCAAACCAATATCAAATCAATAAAAATAAATAAATAAAAATAACGAATTAAACATAAATAAAGGGAATTGGGTTTTGTACTCACAATTATTTTTGAAGATCAAAGAATCACTTTAAAAATTAATAGAGTCACCAAAATAAAACCATAACCCCTTTTGTTTCTGTCTCTCTTCCTCACCTCTGTTTCTCATCTCTCATTTCTCTCTCTCTCTCTTTTTTTTTCCCGCCGTCCTCTTTGCTCTCTGAATTACCCCGTACCCTCACTCTTTTTGTTTTGCTTTTGACAGTAATATGTTAACCTAATTAATGATTGTATTATATTTTATTGTATCAATATAATATATATAAATATGCATTATAAAATGAATATATATAACGTCTTTTCTTTTTTCTTTTTTTATAAATATAAATACTCAGATCAATTATATATAATTAAATATCACATTAAGTTAATTAAATATCACATTAACTTCTCATGTAATCACGCAATTAATGAAGTCCAAAAATAAAATAAAATGATAATAAATAAATGATAACTTGCAAAAAATCAAGGTCGCTACAATATATACACCTCAAAAGAATCTCGTCCCGAGATTCGAAAAGAAAGAATACTACGCAAAAAGCTTTGAGTGCATACGCCGAACTTTCTCATCTAATTCCCAAGTGATATCGTTCTCATCCTCGCTCCATTGCACTTTCACTAAGTTCACTTTCTTTAACTGCAACTATTTTACATCCCGATCTAGAATAGTAACCGGTCACACCACATACATGAGATCATTACTAATTTCCAACACTTCTGGTGATGCTACTTGGGAAGGGTCTTGCACACACTTCTGCAATAAAGATACATAGAATGCATTGTGAATCATAGTTAAAGCAGGTGATAGAGCTAATTTGTAAGCCACATTACCAATCTTCTCAGTGATCTTGTATGGTCCCACAAATCTAGGTGCCAACTTTCCCTTCTTTCTGAACCGCATGATACCCTTCATCGGCGAGACCTTCAAAAACACAAAATCTCCAACATTCAACTCAACCCCCTTACGTTTTCTATCAGTGTAACTTTTCTGACGACTCTATGCAATCTTAATGGGCTTGTTTGGTTTGTGTTTGTAGAGTAATTTTTTAGATAACAACAATGATTCATCCCACTAAAAACATCACCACTAATAGCACTAATGCATTAAAAAAGTAAAAAAAAAAAAAATACAACTCCAAGACCAAAACATCACATCATTAATAGCGGGACCCACTGCCACCTAATTAGTGGGAGCACTAATTAGTGCTCCCAAGCATTTTTCTTGAGATAAAAAGTACGAAAACTTGTTTGGTTTGCCTTTTTTCAGAAATGGTTTTGGAAAATTATTTTGGGGAGAGAGTTTTAAAAAAAGTGATTGATTTGATGTGTATGAGAGAGAGAGTGATTTTGGAAAGAAGCAAACCAAACAAAATTTTGAAATTTTTTTTGAAAAAATTTGTTTGGTTTGATTACTCTTGAAAATTTGTTTGTAGAGAATTTTTCCCAAAAATTTTTCCCAAAAACAAACCAAACAAGCCCAATATGTTCCTGATTAATGTTCACCTGCTCTGTGGTCTATTTCACCAACTCTGGCCCTAACAACGGCGTATCTCCTACCTCCATCCAACAAGCAGGTGATCAACATGGCCTTCCATACAAAGCCTCAAAAGGGGCCATCTCAATACTAGAGTAACAGCTATTATTATAAGCAAACTCCACCAATGGTAAGTGTTCTTCCCAACTGCCACCAAGATCGAGGACACAAGCTCTCAACATATCCTCCAAGATTTGATTTACCCGCTCAATTTGTCCATCTGTCTGAGGATGATAAGTCGTGCTCAAGTCTAACCTAGCACCCAAAGCATGCTGAAAAATCTCCCAAAACTCTACCACAAACAATGGATCACGATCCGAAACTATAGAAACTGGTGAGCCATGAAGTCACACCACCTCTCGAATATATAGCCTAGCTAGTTTATCCATAGTTCGGTGAACACTAATAGGAATAAAATAAGTAGACTTGGTGAGTCGATCGACTATCACCCAAATAGATTCATTGCCTCGCTTAGACCGCGGCAATCTATCTACGAAGTCCATAGAGATGTACTTCCATTTCCATGTAGGGTTCTCGAGAGGCTGCAAAAGCCCAAACGGTAGTTGGTGTTTTGTCTTAACCTGTTGGCACACATAACATCGAGAAGCATACTCTCCTACGTCTTTCTTCATACCTTTCCACCAAAGTGTCCTCTTCAGGTCATGATACATCTTAGTCTCACCAGGGTGAATGGTATATCGGGACCTATGGGCATCATCTTCCTCAATTCAACAATGTTAGGTACACACAACCTGCCCTTGAATCCCCCATCTGAGTCCACAGACCAATCAGTAGAACAATCATTAATCAAATCCACTACAAGGTCATCGAGCTTGCTGACGAGAAACCCACCTAAATTTTGTATCTGACGAACTTTACCCAGTAACGTCAGCTGCACTCTCTATTGGTTGAACATCATGCATCGAAACGAACTCCAAGGACTTTCATTCCTGAATCATCAAAGAAGTTATAATCCCATGTTGTCGACTAAGTGCATCTGCAAGCACATTTCCTTTCCCTGGGTGGTAAAGGATCTCGAAATTATAATTACTGACGAATTCAACCCATCTCTGTTGCCTTATGTTTTACTCTCTTTGAGAAAAAAGATATTTGAGGCTCTTGTGATCTGTGTATAACTCAAAGCGCTACCCAAACAAGTAGTGTTGCCACACTTTTAACGCAAAAACAACTGTTGCCAGCTCTAAATCATGAGTAGGTTATCGTCTCTCATGAGGTTTCAACTGTCAAGAAACATAAGATACAATCTTCTGATGCTGCATTAACACACATCCCAACCTAGTTCCACTCGCATCAGTAAACACAACTAACTTTTCCCTTTGTACTGGTATAGTTAACACCAGTGTTGTAGTCAACTGCTGTTTTAACTCCTGCAAAGCTCTCTCATAATCATCTGTCCATAAGAATTTCACATTCTTGCGGGTCAACATGGTCATGGGTACTGCAATAGTGGGAAACTTCTCTATAAATCTTCTGTAATAACCAGCTAGTCCTAAAAAAATCCTCACATCTGAAGGATTTGTAGGTTGCTTCCATTCTTTGACCGCAACAACTTTCTTAGGATCTACCGCTATCCTTTGTTTGGACACAGCATGTCCCAAACACTGAACTTCTTTCTCCCAAAAGTGACACTTACTGAACTTAGCGTATAATTGCTGCTCCCTCAAAGTCTACAACACAACTTTCAAGTGTTTTCTATGCTCTTCCTCATTCTTAGAAGACACCAGGATATCATCTCTGAAAATAATCACAAACTTATCTAGATACAGTTGAAAATTTCTATTCATCAAGTCCATGAAATAGGCAGGAGAATTTGTCAAACCAAAAGGCATTACAGGAAATTCGTACAACCCATATCGAGTCTGAAAAGTAGTAAGCGGTATACTTTCCTCTGACACACCCACTTGATGGTAACCCATTCTGAGATCAAACTGAGAGAACATGGCTGCCCCTTTTAACTGATCAAACAAGTCATCAATTCTAGGTAGCGGATACTTGTTCTTAATAGTCACCTTGTTTAGCTCTCTATAATCTATGCACATACAGAGAGTGCCATCTTTCTTGGAGACAAAGATCACGGGTGCTCTCTACAAGGAGTTACTTGGACGAATGAACCCTTTCTGAAGCATCTCTTCCAATTGCTTCTTCATCTCTACAAGCTCTTTAGGCACCATTTTGTATGCCACCTTAGAAATTGGTGCAATTCCCGGCACTAAGTCAATGCGAAATTCTACTATCCGTCGAGGAGGAGGTGCAGGTGTCTCTTGAAATACATCCTCAGACTCATGTACCACATCTACCTCACAAATATCCTGCTTAGGGATTTCTACCGAGCATAGAAAACTCGTCATCACTGACTCTTCTCCAATGCTAAAAGTGTGGGTAAGCCGTGGCATACCGAGAATATCTATATTTACAGTCTTTTTAGCACAATCTAAAGTTACAAAGTATTTTCTCAGCCAATCCAAACCCAAAATAATTGTAAACCCCTCAAACCCTAACACAATTAGGCCTGCATACAAGACTCTACTCGGAAAGTCAATCTCAAAATCTTTACACATCTCATAAAGAGTAACTGCCCTTCCTAAAGGGGTTTCAACACGAATAGGTCTAAATAACAAGGTAGTTACAAGGTCTTCTCTTTCTACAAACAATCTAGATATGAAAGAATGAGAGACACCAGTATCAAATAGTACTCTAATGGGTTTTTTTTTTAAAAATAAAGTAAAGATACCTTTCAGCCATCACCTTCAAGTTTAACGCACAAAAAGAATTCGTTCATAAATACTTAAAATAAACTCAATCACCAAACTAAACTAGCTAACCCATGTTTCCATAGTCCGAGGATCACCTAAACTTTCACAAGTCTAGAGTAACCTAGAGCTCTGATACCAAACTGTCACGCCCCAAAATTTGAATAATTAAATATTAAATTAAGACTAAATCACAATCAATATTTCATCATCCAAATCCTAGGGATAAAACAAAATCTAAACGTTCACGTCTCCAAAGGATTTAAGTAAATTTTCATCCTCAAAAGTTTACAAGGGATAAAAAAAAAACTAACAAAATGCTAACCAAATGATCCACCATAATTTTCTAACTAACCAATACCTCCAACATTTAAGTAATAACGAATAGTCAAAATAACTTAAATAATATAAAGTTACAAACCATGCCAAATTATCAAAATACTAAGGCCATAAAAAAAATAATAAATACATAAACTAATATCAACCCTAAGCTCAAAAAAAACCAAAAGAAGTTCAAAAGACATGTCCTACGATCATAGTTATTTCTTATGAACACCATAGTCCCAACTAATCCTGCAAATGAAGCTTGGTTGCGCTCAAACAGAATGCACCCGAGTTCCCAAGAGATCAAACGGGTCAGTATACAGGTATACTGGTATGAGTACAAAATTTAACACCCACTTGTCTACCAAACACAAACAAAAATACATTTAATTCTTGTTACAGGACAAAACAAGTAGTGCCATCCGTACCGAGACGAATGGGTAGTTTCCCGGATACGGTGGCATTTAGTTTCTTGCCCGTACACAACGAAATATAAATTGAGAAAAAAAAATAAACATAATAAAAATAAAAATATGGTGGGCCAGCCCTGCATAAAAAGTTAGTCAGACCCACCATCCTGCAAAAAAATAAAGTTAGTATAATTTAATCACAAGTAACTTGCTGAAAAAGTATAAAAATATATCGTTTCATGCTTAAATAATTTGAATTGACCAAAACTCAAAGAACAAAAATTGTACAGAATCAAATTTCCTAAAAGGCAATTAGAACGAATTTAGTAGAAACTGAACAGGTTGAGAGAAAAACTTGATAGAAGAACCTAGATGGAATTCAACCGAAAAATCTAAAACTGAAAACGAAAAGAAACTACCCTAAGATGATTTTTTTCGGCAAAGTTCAAAACACGAAAAGAGTTTAGAATAATGTTTTACTTCAGTTTATGCGAAACCAATAAAAATGAGCGCATTTCGTGGGTTAAAATAGCATCTAAAATCTGCAATACTAAAATAAATAAAAACTATTGAAACAAAGATTATCCGATTACAAGTTCTAATCGATCTTTGTAGTAAAAAGTTAAAACACAAAAGTTGTCAAGAATTACATATACATGCCTCTGCCCAAATTTCATAATTCACACTATACCAATAAAATCATAATTAAATTCTTTGTACCTTAACTCCACCACTTCGGCCTCCACTTCCGGCCTACACATATATCCCATGTGCCTCCCGTATACCTAACGCCACTCTGAAGCCAAAATTGCACGGGGATATCGTCTCGAGTTTGACGCACACTCCCTGGATGGTTAACATATACGTACACACATAAATCAAAGCACTCGTCTACTCATGCGAACGAGGCAACAATATATATACACAACATCTCACTCATAAGAACAAACATAACAATGCCAAGCCTAAGACATTCAAATAAATCTCATAATCCTCACCCTTTTTTTTTTCACTCTTTCTCACCAATACTCAAATAAAACAACAATCCATGGAGTCATGGTGGGGTATAAGGAATTTATCTATGAGTTCCTAATTTATTTTAATTTCATATGTCCGTGAGTGTGATTACTTCCACAAAGTAAATATATACAAAAATCCTAAACGTTACATACACATCTAATCAAATCATGAAATCAATTCATCATGATTTGATTAGATGTGTATGTAAGGTTTAATGGAGTCCCAAAATAAAATAAAGTAATAATAAATAAATGATGACTTACGAAAAATCAGGGTCGCTACAGTGAATCCTCCACTACAACGATCGGCGAGCGTTGGGGCCGATTAGTGGTTACAGGATCAGAAGATGTCTGAGAAGCAAAAGTTATCGCCGCAACCCTTTCACGTTTTCTGGCTGCAGCGATCTCCAAGAAGTTCTTCGGAGGCATGGTGTCGGATATTGTGGCCTCTGAACTAGATGGTTCTTCTTGAGATTCTTCTTCAGGAGCAGCCTCCTCGATATTCTCCCGCAAGTGAGGAAGAATGTAAAAGTTGAAACCATCGTCGGCACCAAGATCTATGCCGTCAGTAGCTATCACTATTCCATGATAAGGAGTGTATAAAAACAGGACATGAGCAGCCCGACCTTGCCCTTGTTGCTCTGGTGGTCCTCCATATGGTCAAGCTTGTTGAAAAAGAGATATGTTTACTTGATTTTCCCACTCGCTGGGATGAGCAAAAACTTCAAAAGCTGTGACAGAGGATATAAAAATATTAATAAACCAGATGTTTCGATAGATAATCATAAAGGCAAACACATAAAGACAACTTATAACCTGGATGGCCAGTTACCTAAGGGATAGGTCGAATCTAATCAACGCTAGGAGGAAATTCCCCTCTAATATTACAAACACTTCGTTCACGCTTTTACCAGAATAGAAAGCATCTGGACAAGTGGTCGCTTCATCGACCTAGGTTTGAAGTAAAATATTGTTCTTTCTTTGGTAGTTGGAACAAATAACAGTACCTAATTTCAGGTAAACCTAAGTTGATTCCAAGGATGTCATTCAAAGAAACTACCCCCGTCACTATCCTAAAGCAATTATGGGAAAGCTTGGATAAAGGTAGCTTACAAAAATGAAGCACCTCTCTTAGGAGAGGATGAAGAGGGAATTTTAACTCCCCTCTTGATTATGCTTATCAATGTAAGAGGGATTCGTTCTTTAGATCCCTCTGATATACTGTCACCAAAGGTAAGAAGACGGACGACAACATCTTCAAGAATACTATACAAAGCCCTAAACTTAGCAATACTCGCTTCGGATCCAAAGAAAGATCTCAATCGATTCATTTCGACAAACAAAAACTTAACAACGGGAGGGTTGTAGACGCCCTATTTTGACCGGTCCTAAGACTTGGGCATTTTCTTTTGATTACCCTATGATAACAAAACAAGAAGGTGTTTCTCACAGAATCCTTAATAAGAAAACTTAGAATTTGAGCCCTGTTTCCAACCCTAAACAGCCAGGGCATATTTTGACCTCGCGGTTATGTCTAAAATGGTTCATTTAGCTAGAATCAACCTTCGTTGCACTTCCAGGGGCCTTACTGAAAAATTGTCCCAAAATCTGGGTTATAGCATAATTATTTGAGACTTCTGGGTCAATTATAAACTCAGAGAATATTCTATTATGTGAGGGAATATTCTGTTAAGTCAGGAAATATTTCGTCCATATGCAGAATATTCCGTTAATGTTGACTGGGACGCTGACGTAGCGGTCTTACTAACGTAGCATGACTGGATTGGTCCTTGCTGATGATGTGGCACTGACTTGTCTTTATCCAAAAAAATGAATTTAAGGAGTGCTAGTGAAGGGGTTTGAACGCCCAACCTAAGACTCCATACCAAACATCTTAACCATTCTATCAAAGCTTTGCCTTGTGTTATATTTTCCCACAAATAATATTTGACCATTTCAAACTAGTAGGCAAAGGTGTATTTTTTTTCTTGTGTGTGGGACACTCCCCTACCCCATTGGCCGACCCATATATCACCAAATACATACCTAATCATCCCCCATTGTCAAAAACAAGTTTTGTTTGCATCCATAAATGGGTATCCCATGCAACCACCTTGAAAATTTGCCCTCCTATCACATTCTTGTCTCCCACCTTCTTTTTGACCTTCACTGTCCCTCATTGCCTATATAGAATGATCATACTATAAGAGAGAGGAGGACCATGAAATTGAAGAGAAAATAGTGAGAAAATAGTGAAAAAAGAGAGAAAATTTGAGTTTTGGGGCCAAAAATACTCATATCTTCCATATACACTTCATACCTTCCATACAAACTGAAATTCCATCTTTCCTACACCCAAAACTCCTTCAAAAATTCTGAAATAACTAAATTTCAGTAGTGATTGATCAAAGGAAAGAGTGAGTGTTGTTGAAGGTGA